GAGAGAGAGAGAGAGAGAGAGAGAGAGAGAGAGAGAGGAGAGAGAGAGAAGGTAGAGAGAGTAAGAGAGACAGAAAGAGAGAGAGGGACAGAAAGAGAGTGCCATATGCCCATCGCCGTTGAGGATTCTTCCCCTTTTACCACAGGCACTGGTAGGGAAAAGGGGCTATACAAGATGGATTTGGTAATATCCCCCCAGGATTACACGCAGGAGAGAAGGAAGAGGAACTCTGCACCAAGTCCATTCTCATAGACGTAACAATCGTCAACCCATCCGCAGGTCGAAGCATCGACAAGTCGATGCAAAAGCCACGATCCGCCCTCGAAGATCGAGCTGCAAGTAAGGCAAATCACTTTGCGGGAACTTTCAACCCGCATAGATCTACCCTCCTTACTGCTGCTTTTTCAACGAATGGTGGTCTTGGCAAAGGCACCAACCGACTGATCGTTGCTATCGCCAACCACTTGGCGCAAGAAGCTTGTTGCCGGGGGAATTTTGACGACGAAAGAGCCTTAGTTCGCCTGAAACCTTTTCATACTAACAGGATCCGGAGACGGTTTACCTTCGAGCTAGCTCGTTTTCTGTCGATGCGAACTCGCGATGTGTTCAAACGTCATGGGCTACTGACCGACCAACTTCCACCACGGCCAATCGGTTGGGATCTCTGCGACAACGATGGTAATGAGGGTTATTATTTTGGGAGTGACGGAGACGAAGGAAAGGGAAAGGGAAGAAAGGAGGACGACGACGACGATGGAGGAGGAAAACATGGAGGAGTCGAAGAGAGCAAAGGATTTGAGCCAGATGACACTCCCCAAAACAAAAACGTAGTGCTAGGAAAGAACTGCCCGGAGATTCTTGTCAAAATGAGGATCAGAATGATGGTAGCGAAAACGAGGAGGATGATGGTGAAGGTACTCCTAAACGAACTCGGGTACAAGGTAGTAGCCTTGGTAGACGCGTGCAGTTTGCTTTTGTTGCTGCTGTTTCTGTCTTTGATCCGAAGGATAGTGTAGTCTTCCCCATGCTGCCCCCTCACGGGGTCCCAGTTCATGGCAGATACAAGTGTTTTGTGTTTTCAACCGCACGTAAGACTGACGGCTTTTCATTGGTCAGCCGGTTAGCGCGGTCGATGCTAATAATAAAAACACACACACAGACATGAGGGGGGGGGGGCACCGCGGTCGGGAAGTCGCGTAACCAGGCCAGCCAACCGATAGAAGAATGAACAAGGACGCAAACGCTGATTTGAGGATGATGGTCAAGCGGGGGGCACGGACGTGGTCGACCACAGGAGTTTCATTGGCTTCGATAGTTGTTGGACATCTCCGGATATTTTGCTTAGTTTTGATGCGTGATTAGTTTTGTCGCCACGAAAGTCTGCCTCCTGGTCCTAAGGTTACGGAACAGGAGATGCTAAATAGAGATAACGTAACATCATTCGCCGCAATGCACAGCGCTACCAACTCAACCTATTCTTGCCTACACAAATACACACGTTTGGCATTAGAAGTGTTTTGTGTTCTCAACCGCACTGAGACTGACGTCTTTTAATTGGTCCGCAGGTTAGCGCGGTCGATGCATATAGTAAAGACACACATGTTCACGACTAGAACCATGAAGGCATGTAAGTAGTGCGTACCTGCACATCGCCTTGGCAGGCGGCTTTGTGGAGAGCGGTGCGTCCCGACCCTCCTGTCTTCAAGTTCACATCGGCACCAGCGTCCACGAGCTGTGCGACGATGCCACGTTCACCTGGCGATACATGGAACACACGACACGCCGCGGAATGGAGGCCGGCCGAGCGCTATATGTGTATACATGTCAACGATACACAAGGGTTCGGGATTGGCTCCGTTATGACACACCTCTCTCGGTGACGTGAATGAACACATGCACGCAAGAGAGTGCGAAGAGAGAAGGGGAGAGGGAGAGAGAGTGAGACAGACACACACACACACACACACACAGAAGGGGGGGGGGGGGGGGTGTACTCATAGTCGTGCATGCCGTAGTCGTTAGACCATTGACCTCGCATCCCTACAAAGCCGGGACGGAGCACGCCGGGTTCTCACCGGACCAGGGGGGGGTGGGGAGGGACAAATATATGTTGAGACGGGGACCGACTCCATCATCTCTCTTCGTGTGGAATTCTGCATTTCTAGGCTCTGCAAGGGCGCGTGCGAAACGCGTGCACACGCCAGCATGGTGACGGCCCTCGTACCGCCACACCCGCCGCCGTCACCACCGCCAGTACCAAAAAACGAGTAAGGGTTGACCTTGCTCAAACACGAGACGCAGCTCCGTCGAATCACGAGCAACATATCCACTCAACACGTGTGCGCACGTCGTGTGCCTTTCTTTTCGTAAGCATCGATGACCGGCTGACCGATGAAAATACGTCAGTCATAAAGCAGCTGAAAACAGACGAGAGCATGGAAAGCTGGACGTGTATCCACGTCTCCAAAAGAAAATTGATACGTAGCCACGCTAAGGACCCAACCTTCGCCGATGGCGGTCTGGAGCGGAGTCTCCCCTCCCCGCATGCACTTGTCCACGCTGGCGCCGTGCTTTAGCAGGAGGCGGACCATTTCCGGACGGCCGAGAAAGCAGGACAGCCCCAGCAGGTAAACGGGGGCCTTGCCTCCTCGCCCCTTCGGTCGGGAAAAGGTGCAACACCAGCAGCAGCACCAACAGGAGGCAGATTGGTGTAGCAGCAGCAAGAGGTGGATGTTGTATGGCACGGAAAATGTGCGAACAGGGTCAAAAGCAGCAGCAGCAGCAGTAGCCGCACGTTACGAGAAAAATGAAACGCCTATGGCAAAGGGCCAACAGCGGCGGCAAACAGAGCAGCCGACAATCAGGCGCCGTGTCTTGTGTACGAGAGGCTGCACGCTTAGGGTGCATACGTATACAGGAATGGACTACACCCGAAGTTCGAAGCCGGGACTTTCTCGACAACAATCACGGCAACAGAGTAACGCGGGGTGATTCACACACATTTTTTTCACGTCGTGTCTTGGTAGTGTTGGAGAAAATCGTCGAGAAGGCACAGCTCAGAACGCACGTCTGGCCTCTCTACACCGGCGTGTATCTGGATCCCGGGATCCCGGGATTTGAAATTTGGGATTTGAAAAGCAACTACAGTAGGTGGCCCGATAAAGTGGCATATAGTGGCCAGACAGAATTGTGCCACTATTCAGGGCAGTGCCACTATTCGATATAGTGGCACTATTGCCACTATTAGACAGTCGATAGTGGCAATAGTGCCACTATATCGAATAAAGAGCTTCGATGTTCACGCTGTACACTCATTATGCGCTGTAAAGCCGTGTATACTGTTCCACTCCTCGTGGTTTATTTGTGTGCAGCAGTATCCGCATGAAACACATGAAATGGCCGTTGATTATCCAACGGTTACCGAGCCTTCTGTGGTCAAGACCTGTTTTTTCTGTGCAGGCAGACCACAGGAACCACGTCCAAACGCATTGTATCATAGGTGGCATATCATTTTTTTTTGTCCGGCGGGCAGTGTAACATGGGGTTCAACACTACGTGTAGAACGCATGAAAACAGCAACGTAGAGACGCGAAACTAACTGAAACAGCCCTACAGCACTAGAAAAATCAAACACCCCCACCCCGGCGCATCAACCCAACCACCACGATGCTCTGCAACTGTAGGCGTCAGCCGACTGATTGCACTACGAGTCGGCAAACACTCTAATGTCCAACTGCCGTGCCGGTCTAGCGAATGTAGCTGCCAAGAATGCCATTTTCGCCTTGCGGAGAAAGTGCCCGGCGTCACCAATGCCACACGACTCTGCGTAGTGTTCTAGAGGACCAAAAAAATCAGCCAGCTCCGCGAAAGACGGCGGCGCCTTCTTCCCACCACCCCCCGCACTCTCAGAATCTTTGGCGCTGTCTAGCTCGTCGTCGTCGTCAGAAATGTTTTCGTCCTCCTTGAAAGTGTTGTTAACCTTTTCCATGAAAATCTCCTTTGCGTCTTCAGACAGAGTTTCAGCAAACTCGGGTTGCTCCTCCAACCCGGCCCATGCCTCCACGGCCTTGATGGCCGTGGGGTGAGCAGGCGCGCCCGGGGCGATGTTAAGATTCGCCAGAACCTCTACCAACTCTGAGTCCTGCACGCCCGGCCCGGACGCCGCGTCGCGGACGCCGATGCTGAGCGCGTTGAGCGTTTCCGTGAGCTCTGCCACCCCAGCGTCCTTGGCCCCGTTCACCACCCCCTTCCCCGCGTCGTTCGCAAGCTGCGCCTGGTGTTCTGCTGGAAGAGTCTCAGCTTTCACCCAGCACCTGTGAGGTATAAACGTCCGGGGGGAGGGGTAGGAGGGGAGGGTGCGAAGGGGGCGCGTCAAAATGATAATCTACTTCTTTTTGGGAGGGGGGCGCGTAGTACTACAAACTAGAGCGCAGGACTGAGCAACTCGGCAAAAAAACAGGGGTACATGCATACCTCACAAAAATCAACGAAATCAATCACCTCGCGATGGTGGTGGGCGTGACCTTGTCCCACGCCCCTTCCAGAAGCTCGGCCGCGTCCAAGAGGTGGGCCGGGTGCCCTTCCGCCAACCCCATCGTACCGGCAGCCATCTTGCGGTCCTTAGCTTGCTGACGAAGAGTGTCGACCGAAGACATGGTTGACACGCGGATGTCCAGTAGACCCTTCCGGTAGTAGCGCTTGGTGGTCTCGATGACACCCATGTCCATTGGCTGGTACTTGTAGGTGCAGTTGGGCGGGTACGTGCTCACCTCGATCTGGCCTCGAGGATCAACCAGATCGCCGTGCGACGCGCACCCGTCCATGAGAAGCAGCACCGGCTCGTGAGTCCACTTCCGGATGAAAGGGATGAAAACCTCCAGCCACCACTTCTTGAAGGTTGCGTTGTCCGACCATGCATTCGCCTGAGAGAAGTAGGTGAGCGGACTCGGCGAGGACCGAAAGCAGCGCGGGTTCTTCGCCCTCCCGATGATCGCCATGGGAACCTTCGCCGTCCCGGTGGCGTTGGTGCACATGTAGGCCGACACACGGTCTTTGGCCTTCATCCCCTTCGTGCCCCTCACCGTCTTCCGCTTCTCCGTTGTTGACAGGTACGTGCGCTTCGGCAGCAGTCTGTAGTACATGCCAGTCTCGTCCACGTTGAAGATGTTCTCCACCTTGTACTTCGAGCACGCCCGCCGGATCGCCGCCATGCCTTCGGCGGCGGCCTCGGCATCGAGGCTACCGGCCTCGCCGTGCAGCACAAAACTCGTCAAGTTGTGGCGATTCACCAAATTGCGCACCCACTTCTCGCTGGCGCCAAACATCCGCAGCCTCTCTTTGGCGTCCGCTGGAGTTGACGGCGCCGCCACCAGCTTGTCCCTGACGGCGATCCCGAACGACTCGATCGGGGCACGCGTGATAGGCAGCGGCACTCTCCGCGCTTCCTTTATCAAGGCCAGGACGTCTTTCTCCAACTGAAGAAAATTACGAGAATAATTGGGGACAGAAAACGGAGCACATGAGTCGCGCAGCAGTAGAGACACAGCCCGACATGTAACTACTGCTTACGAAATGCCGTGTCCGGTGAAGAGAACACTCGACGGTACATACTGTACGCATCATTCGAAGCAAGGATTGTTAGCCTCCAAAATAAATCGTCACGGGTCGCAGTATATAATTTCGTACGTGTCACACACGTTTCGCGGGTTAAAGAACTACATATATACGACGACAGTCGCAGGAGGAACAAGACCCTCAAGACACAAAACAAAACAAGACACAGCTGTGTTGGTAAAAAAAGGAGTCCTGCCTCGGGGAGCGTTATTTATTTGATTTCCGTTCTTGAAAAAAGTTTTCAACAAATTTCCAACTACACTGCTGTATATATGTAGAAGCGTACAAGTTTGTACAAATGCGCATCAATTATGCCAACCCCAGACGTGTTGCACGCTCGCTGCACAGACCAACACCAAAAAAAAAATACGCTCCTCGAACACAGATCTAATTTCAATTTTCCCTCCCAAAAACACATAACAACGACACACATACACAGCACACCTCGCGCGCAATTTTATGTACACATACAGTAGTACTGTAATAAAATTGATCAATATAAAAAACAGAGTGAACGCACCTCCGGAAAATCTCCCCTTCGCGAGCTCTTGGATGTTGTACTGCGTGCGTTGGTTGCTGCTGCCTGCTCCAGCTGCTGTCGCTTGCCCTTGATCAAGCTAATCGCGCTGGTGCTGATGCTGTAGCGGCGGGCAATCTCGGCATGCGTCGTCTTCTCGTCCAAGAGCTTGAGAACCTCAAGCTGCTGGCCGAAGTTGAGCCGCGTGCGCGTCGATTTTCCCGCTTTCCCGGCTGCGTTCCCGGCTGACTTGGTCTTTTTCGCCGCGGCGCCATCTCCGGCAAGTTCGGATTCGGGCGAGGCACGCTTAGGCTGTTTCGAGGAGCCGGGTGTCTTCTGCTTCTTGGCGATGCACGGGTTGCAGACGCGGTGTATTTCTTGGCCGCCCTCCTCCTCTGGTTCACCACATATCCCATGAAGCCTGCCACCGCAGCCAAGGCGACACTCGTGCCCATCTTTCTCTCCCAGTGGTCGGTTTGGGAGTTTACGCAGTTCTTGGTCCGCGCAGACTAGCATGATACGTGTGGCGCCCACTACTGAGAGTGTGTGTGGGCAGGTGTGGTACAGCAGTAAAGTGGGGGCCCACTAGTTGGAACTGCCACTATTGGGTGTGTGTGATGCCCGAAATGCCACTATTGAGGGCCCCGTCCTCAATAGTGGCAAAGTGCCACTATATCGGGTTGAGATTTTGCCAGGAGATTTTCATGCCACTATATCGGGCACTTTACTATTCAGGTTGCCACTATATCGGGCCACCTACTGTAACTCTATCCTGTCTGTCAACCATCGACCCCGGAACGCTGCCGAGTTTCCCAGACCGTTTGAGCCAGATAGGCTCGTACTACACTGCCTTTTTGATGTTTGCCTGTTAATCCGCTGTCTGTCCGCTTTCTCTCTTCTGTGCAGGAGCTCAAGGAACGAATGTGTAGACCACTGCGGTAAGTGCAGCTGCTGCTGTTGTTGTAGCAGCGGAGGCACAAAATTCCACAATTTACACAGAACCAACTCCCCGGGCTACAGCAACAGTGGTACAATGCTGCACGGACTTGCTTCAGCCAGCCATCGAAATAAAAATGAGCACAACAGCGTTTACGAAGTAAGCTCGCTAGGCTCCTTCCTCTCCTGCTAATTTCCCAGAAAATCGCGCGTATCTGTAGCACAGCGAGGGAGGGCTTATGACTGGCTCATGACGTGCATACACTTACAGCACTTACGTCGGACGGGATGTTCGGATCTACTCCGGCCTCGAGCATGCGAGCTACCAGCCCGGTGTGTGCGCAAGAGATGGCCTCCACCATCGTGCACGCGGCGTCGAATTCGCGGAGGGTAGGCATGATGAGGATTTTTTGGTAGTGAAAGCTGATGCAGCCAGCTCATGCACAGCCGTGCGTGCCTGTGGGGGGCACACAGTCGGCGGGTGCAGGGGGCAAGGGGCGTGCCCACTGCGGCATCATGCGCACACACATCATCACCCGGGTTGCAAGGGGCTCCGTACACCCCATTTTTCTTTTTTT